CCGTTACTATCAGATTAGAACCGCATCCTTATGTCCTCATTGCTCTATTTCCAAATACAATCACATTACAAGTTAAGGCATGAATTCCAGGGGGCAGAGGAGACAATTTAAGCAATCTCAACCACAGACTCTACACACAACTTTAACATACATATTAGTCTTTAATGCTCTTCACCATTAAGTTGAACCAGAATTCCTTCACTGCAAGTTGCAAATTTAATGGTTCCAGATGGCAAAAAGACAGAGTAAGACTATAACATCTTGAATTTGGTAAAAACAAGCTTCCATGTAGACTAGGTAAAATTCAGAAGGGATAAAGGGACAAGTAAAAATGGAAAGGAATGGTGAAGTTTTATGCTTTTGAGCACCAAACAGTAGTGAAACCAGGAACAATAATTAATACCACCAACCACCAACAATATTAAGGTTTACTGTAGTAACCATGAAATGTCACAAGTTCATAACAAAGTTGAACAGCAAATGTTAATATAACTAAAATATAGCTGTAATTACAAATAAGGGAAACATAATAAGGATATACTTTGTTCATTAATTTGTCATTTATTCATTAATGACTTTAAAAATTAAGTGTCAAGACACAAGATTATTTTGTTTCTTTCATTTTATGTCTGTATATAATGCTTAGACATTTCATAGTTTTAATTTGTTTAAGCTGGAAAGAAAAAGGAAGTGTAGAACATGTAGTACTGGAGTACTACACCCAAGAAGAGGAACGTTAATTAGCACTGATGGTAACTCAGAATAACAAGATAGACTGTAATCAGAAGTGGTGGTCATATAATAGCTTAGTAAATAGAGTGTACTCAGAAATAGAGCTCAGTACTAAATTTTAAAGATACAAAATAGCAACTATCCTAACAAAAAGGTTAACAACAGAGACTTATGCTTCTACAGTGTAGGATATAAAATAGCTACGAATTACATATCTTTAAAAACTACTTAAATAAGCAATATTTATATAAAACATAGCTAAATATATCAAATGAGAAAATGGCTTAATACCAGTGATCATGCAGAACTTTAAAGAGTACATAAATTCTAGGAAAAACACCAATTTCAAAAATTAAAATCTAATGAATGATGGTGATATAAATTTATCTAAACATAAATTTT